CTGTTTAATTTCCTTCTAGTATTACGCCATTGTTGTTGCTCGCTTATAATACAATTCAGCGTGTAAAAAAGAACGGCACTCGTTAAATTTTTAAATATTCAAATAATTATTCCTTTTTTTTTCTTTATTTAGAGTTCATTCTTGTTTATATTATCTGTAAGTATAATTCACTTTTTTATCTTTGAATAAAAATATATTATGGGCCTCTTTGACATTCATGATTAACCTGTATTATTCAAATGTTTTTTAAAACAATAAATTAATTTCTACATCTATTTTCAAAATTTATTTGGTGTAAAAAAATTCTGACTCTTAAGTTATTATAATATTTTCAATAACCGGTTCAATTTAGTTGTATTGTATATAATTCCATATAATTATAAAATGTAGTATTTATTTTTATACAGTTAACAAAATAATAAATGATAAAATCAATTTAATGGCTATATTTTAAATAATTTATTTAAATGTTTAGTTTTTAAAATTGAAACGATAATATTTAATTTATTTGTCTAATATGATAAGTGGCTTGAAAATAAAATGCATCCTGTTTCCATTTGCAGTTCACTCCATGAATTAAATAATTTACTGAGAACTCTTTATAGTAGTAGTTCAAATCAGGCTGAAGCAATACTACATGGATACAATAATGCAATGGATTTCCACATTTTACAGTCTGATTGTTTTCTATAATGTATTTATTTTCTTATTTTTACGAGTACTACAGGTCTTTGACGAAATGAATCTATTTTAGACTGATTGTGATTTTTTACGAAGGAATCGTTTTTATCTTTCGAATGATCAGATTTAGGTGTCCTTGACATCCAGGACATTGGCAATGTTTGAACAAAGCTCTGAAAAAAATTTAACAAGCATATAAACGAGTGATTGAGGGAGACAAATATCGAAACAATTTTCACGTTAGTTAAGTAGTACACAGAACATTTTGAAAACAAGAAGAAACAAATCGTGTGATAATTTTACAAGTGTGAATAAGTGATTATGATAAATTACAATTCAAGACCTTTTTTTTATTGAGTATAATTACCATCGTAAATATTTTAGTAATAGATACATTTATATCTTTATATATACTGTGCAAATTTCGTATAATATATAAGACATATATGATATGAATATCATATTTATTATTCGCAAATATTATAACTATATAGTTTATACTTTGAAAAGTATATTTTTACTATTTTTTTTTTTTTTTAAATATTTAGATTATTAGTAATATTAGTAATATTCATTATATTTATTATGATAAATAACATTTAACCAATTATATTAATTTTTGTAAAAGTTTTTGATAGCCTTAAGTTTATTTTATCAAATTAATCGATAATGATATTTGAAATATTTAAATATTAAAATAAATAAATAACTTGGCAGGTTTAATATTTTATTTTTAAATTTATAAACAACTTATAAAATCAACAATGTGGGAGATTAAAAAAAAAAATTTAATAATATTAAACTATAATCATGTTTTTTTATATATTATATAAAAAACCATGATTATAAGTTTTAAATATTTGATTATTAATATTTATCTACTTTTCTAATTTTGTAATCTCCAGTTTCCCAATCGATATGTACTGTTCCTAAAAATATACAAAACCGGTTGTTTATACGCACGTCATAATAATCGTATACATAAGTTCCATATTATTGACGAAAAACATATTGCATAAATTGTTATCTATTTGTAATTTCTTTTTTGGATAACCCCAAATAATGATGCATATGTAATTTATCATCGGAAAAAGTGGATGCACTGTGAAAGTAAATGACTAAGAACATCGAGTAGTCTATTAGTCTAGATATACTAAAAATAGCTTAGATTCTCATAGTCTTGTTATGAAATTCAAAGCAACAGCATTAACGTCAATAACGACGATGAGAACAAAGTTAAAAATGTATCAAACGTTACGTCTGATGTGTTGAATTTAATTAGAATTCAATGTTATGTATTCACCAGCATTACGTCATATTGTATTTTCGAAAACAAAAATATCACGACAATGAAAAGGGAGAATTTGATAAAACCCATTGATGCGCGAAGATTGACGAGTCGAGATGCACCCAATTCATATTCCGAGTGCGGAACACTTGTCTGCGGCGAGCGGGTGCCGAAGCGGTGTGGCAATCCCTTCCAGTCACTTGTTAATTATTGTTCGAGGGCTATATTTACATACTATAATTCGCGAACATTCACAATGAGCGCGCGCAAAACATAAAACCTTAGGCGTGCGATGTGCGACGTGGGCTCGTTTGCAGAACATTCCCGTTATTACCGGCCATAGTAATTGCACACGGTAATTATTTTCGCTGTCATCACTCCAATATCAGCGAATGGTGAGGTGCTCCGTGTTCGCCGTTCATTAGCGACTGGAAAGGACCCGAATGTCCCGTTATAATATTGTTTGTCGTACGAAACTTTGACCCGATGGACGGCTAATCGCCAGGAAATTGTTAGAAATATTTAGCACCGCTTTGGAAGTAGTCGATGATACGGACGCGCGGTGTCGAATGTCAATTGTTGTGATTGCACCCCGGATAATCGATAAAACAGTTAATACGGCGCAAGTGTGTTGTTAAACTTGTTCCGTTCTCCGAATCGAACTTGTCTTTCCGACGGTTAGGGATTTGATCGATTCACGTATTATCCACGTTGAATAGGCGTTCCCCACGGAAACAATATACAATTTGTTTTCCTTGACATTCAATCACATAACATTTATTGTGAACGATGAAAAACATGTCAGATATGAACGTGAAAGATTATATTATTTTTCTCAAACGTTCCGTCGCTATGTGCTTTTAATAAAATGAATACCTGAAAATCGCTTTTAAACGCATACTGAAAAATTTGTTCGTTTCGTACTAAGTAAAATAAACGCTTATTTATTGGTAAACTTTAAAGTGTTTTATTTTAATTTAAGACAAACCAGTCATAAAGAATATATAAAAGTAACATTATTTAATTATTAAAATATTACAAATATTATTTAAATTTTTCAATTTTTAATTGGAAATATTTCAGTTTTGAATTGATGGTAACTATATTATAGAATATATACAACTATGGAATTATTTGTGTTTATATAATCTATCAAGTATGAAAATGTTATTTTAAACAGATCTAAATCGATTTAAGCAATAAAAGAAACCTGGTGAAACTTTCATGTTGGGTGGTATATAAAAACAGGTGAACGATGCTGTTGTATACATTTTTATACTTGAAACCAAGTTGCTTTTGCTCTTGAAAAAAGGATAATGAGTAAAATATGTCGAGTAAATTAGTTAACAAGTAATATTTTATTTTAAAACATCTAAGGTCGTGTTGATAGTCTTATTTTATACTTAGAGTATGTATGTACAATTTAAAAATTTCAATTAAGTAAGTACCTTATAGTCCAAATATATGATTTTAATTTGCATTTCTTAATTTTTTAGGCTCTAAGTAATGTTAAATCTTTTCTGCGATCAAAATTTTTGGTACGAAATCTGCCCAATAAGTTTATAATAGTTATTTGATTACGTATAAATTCGAAAAAACATCAAATTGACTATTTTTTTTACATATTTTTTTCCATAGTTTTTTATGACACGAAGAAAAAAGTGAAAACTGAAATTTCTTTCACTTATCGTTTATATATAAAAACAATTTCATTTTTTTTTTTTTTTTTTTTTGGGAAATAAGTAATGTTAGTTTCTATGAAATGATAATTTTTCACAACATTCAATTCATGCTATTTTTAATTTTATAGATACACAGGTTATTTATCTTAAACATTTATTTTTTTCTATTTATTTTAAAGTTAAAAACATTGCACAGTTAATTATTAATTAACATTTTTGTTTTGTAATAGAAACAACATTTTTATAATGTATTGCTTTATGCATAAATATAAATTGCTTATAATATCAGATAGATCAAAATACTAAGATGAATTCAATTTATTTTAATGTATATTGTGAATAAATAACCAATTAATTTACATGTATGATATGTTTAAAGAGAATATAATAATAATTTATTGATATGATATGTTCGTAATATTCGTATAACATATTTATTTATGTTTAATTAGCACGTATTCGATTTGTTATTATCCCGTTAGTTACTGTTAGTTTTGGCAGAGTTTATATTATTTTTTTCATTTATTCTGGCATAATCGCACTAAAAACAAATCAAATGAAACCGACAAATAACATTGTCATATATTAAATATGATTGTATATGTGTGTATGTTTGTTTTTCAATCCGTATCATATATTTGACAGTAAAAAAACGAAAAAATACAATGATAATAAAAAGCGGGATATAAAAATTTATAATAATGCACTCGATCAGGTAATACCGTTTAACGTGATGGTACGTTGTACGAAAATAAACGGTTAAATTTGATTGGAATATTGTTCCGAAACGTTCAAATTGCTATTATCTTGCGCGTATTATTGTCAGTGCTTGGTATTCGGCAATAAACGTTTGCTAGAATAATATCAGTTCGTCTACCGGATGCGAGGGTGAACGTAAAACAGTCATAACGATAAAAAAAGAGAATACGATTAACTACTATATTTGTTAACATACACATTGATATGTGTAATGTGTATTACGTGTACCACTACCACGTATTATACGTTGAAAAAGTGTATAAAATAAAAAGCACCTGAAAACGAATGAACCGAAACGAGTGAATTCATTCGAATGGGATTTATTCTACATTCGAGTAATTTTACTATGTTCTGGTGTATTAGTATTCACCGTATTAAAGTGCTGAACGTAATAAATACATTAAGCAGCTGATCATAATATAGTTTTTTTTTTTCAACCATAAATTTATGATAATATTCCATCAAGATGTATTTGTATGCACTAAACGTAAAAAATAAAAAACGAAATAAAGAGTTTGAGTTATAATAACATTTAAAGATCTAGAAAAATTTAGATGTTCATGGGTCACGTATTTTTCTTTTTTTTCCAGGAGTTTAATACAACGATACCACACAATCACACGATATCGGCACGATGTCAAGAGCCAATCGGCACATACAAATTAAACGGACCTTCGATATTGAATTGTACCAACGGAATTTGGTCTAGTCCGATACCTAAATGTCAACCAACCACTCTGTTTACAAATTATTCAGGTATTTATATCTTGATATCCCTTTGAGAATTAATCGATAACTTAAAAATTATCTATTAATATATGGTTGAAATCAATTGGATATAATCGAGAAAATAAATCAATTCCCTTACGCTATCTTTTTTTAAAAAAAAAAAATCTATTTTGCATTATATCACCAGCAATAATTATCAGAGAAAACTTGTTTCATAGAATAGATATTATATATCTTAAATATATTCGATATGATTAAACTAATTTGATGTACCTTATTTCATAATTTTTATTTAAAAAATATTGTTAGTTAAAAACTATCAACCAAAATATCCAAAAATGTGTTCATTACCGTTAGGAAAATGATAAATTTGGTCTGTCTAAATTTATTTTGTTTCTATACTTTTGCTTAAGTTTAACAAACAGCTATTTATTTTTTATATGAAATAAATTAAAAGTTGTACTTACATGTTTTTATTGAATTTTCAATTCTTAATATATTATTTCCAGAGCCCATTGAAAAAAAATTTTACATCAATAATTCATATAACGGGAAAACAAAATCTTAAAATTAAATTTGGGTTATCTTAAAATATGTAGCACAATATTTTTGTTTTTTAAAATTAAAAACCAATTGTTACGGCGTTCTGAATAGACAATTTAACACCATTCTTGTTAACAGTGGTACATGTCTATTATCAAAAAATGAATAGGATATTTCAAAAATAATAGTTTAAAAATTGTATACCATGATTAGTTATATGAATATTGAAATCTTATAGAAATATTTACTTTATAAATGTAAACTAAATTTCATATTTAAAACATCTTATGTGTTTTCAATTGGCTATGTTTTCAAACATATTGATACAAAGCATTAAAATTAAATTAGACATCTAATTAAAACAAAAAAAAAATTCCTTAACATTTATCTCTAAACATTTCAGATCAATATCTTCAATATTTACAATGTTCAAATAGTAAATTATAATTATTTAAGTCATTGTTCTCTAATATGGCATTTTATAACATTTATTGCCCATTAATAATTCTCAATAAAATATTAAAGTTAATAAGTTTAAATTATTTACCAATGAAAAAAATTCTCAATTGTTTATAACGTAAAGTGAAAATATGTAAAATATTTGTAGATAGAGGTTTTTAATCTGTTGTTTAAGTCAAACTCACAAAAAAAATCTCTTCAATCTAAAATGTATGCTTTTTATTTAAATAAGGCAAAATGCATTTTTCTAATGATAAATACATGGCAAAAATGGAAAACTTTTATTAATTTATAAAATACATATTCTACGTATAATTATTATTAATATGAACATAAAACATTCACTTTTTATTTATTGAAAATTTAGTTATTATGTAATGATTTAAAGTATCTAAATTAATGTCTAATTTATACAATTGAAAATTATTTATTTCTATTTATTTTTCTGATATTTTAATATAATCAGGCAAGGTTGGGCATTAACGAGTTAAAAGTTAAAGTTAAGTTAAAATGTTAGGTTAATTTTAATTAAGTTAATTAACTTGTTAAATTTTTTATAAATTAACTTTTAACTTAATAAGTTACTTTAACCTAACCTAACCTAACTTTTTTTTTAAATTAACGTGTTAACTTTAAGTTAATTTTATTTAAAAGAAGCTAATTTAAATTAATTTTAATGTAAAGAATAATGCAAATTATTAAATGAAGTTTTTAGTATATTTATAATTAACTATTTTAATATGAATATCCTGTAGACGAAAATAATATGAAAAATAATTTTAATAGTCATTATATGAATTATATTTTATCATTATATTTTTATAACATTGTTATTGTATAAACACTATACACCCATGAAAATCCTAAGAATATTCTGTGAAAATAGTAAATACCACGAGAGTGAGTGTCGATAGGGGATTAATCACAAAACAACTGTGGTATAATTTCCAATTTAATTTCATTATTCAACTAGCATGTGTTCTGTTCACATCTCGTTAGAATTTATAATATATTGTTATTAGTTTATTACTTTATTAGCTTATTATATTTCTGTGAAAGTATATAGTTTTTGATTTTTGATTTTTTGATAGCTAGTTAATACTTTTATGTATCATTTTAAATTTTCCTAGTAATTTTCTTGAGTGTAAAAACTAATATTATGTATGCAATTTTTTATTTTTGCAAATTAGAAAATTTTAACATTAAACTAAATTAAGTTACTTTTTTTTTCAAAGTTAACTTTTAACTTAACGAGTTGATGAAAAAAATATAAGTAACTTTTAATTTAACTTAATTTAATTATTTTAAAATAGCTTAACGAGTTAAAAAAAATCGTTAACTTGCCCAGCCCTGCAATTAGGTATAATAACTAGGTATTTTCCTTCTAATTAATTTAACAATGTATGTGTGGATCTCATTTTTGTTCTCATGATTTGTAATCCCTTTTCTCCGTTTTTTTTATCTAGTAATTAGTCTTTCAAATTTTTCATATTTCCTTGTTAAAAATAAACCAAGGATTATTCTCTTTTTAGTTATAGTTCTTGGAATTTTTCATTAATGCCTAGCTTTTTTTTACTATTTATACCATAACTAGAAAGAAATAAACTCTAAAGAGACAAATATTGTGTTTAGTAAAATCACACTTTTTTTATTTTTAATATTTATTTTCAACGTGAGTACAAATCAAATTAATACTTTGCGTCAAGTTATATAGTATGTATATAATGGGGTTATTTATTCAGTGTATAGATCTGTATTATCTATGATAATATATGTTTATATATAAAAACTATATCATGTAAAATAAAAATTATAATATCATTATAAATTTGCCAAAGATAAATATAGTGCATACAAGTACTTGTTAATTATTCAAATAAATAATTTAGACAAGCTACCCAATGTAGTATCTTGATGTTTCTTTTAATATTTTTTTAAATCAAATATTTATTGAATAATTATCGAATTAAAAATTATAATATTCATATTTTGTTAAATCAATAATTGTTAAGAGTATATTCAAAATGTAGTCAATTAAATCAGCTGGCACTCGTGACAAGACCTTCAACTTTATTGACTTAAAGCATCGTTTTTCGGACTTTTTTAACCTTTGTGCATTTTTTTTAACTAAATTATAACTATATAACGTTCTTAATTTCATGTTATCATAAAGACCTTCTTAAAAATTATAAAAAAAAATTGTGTTCTGAAAATATATTATATCAATTTTAATTTGAAAAACATTGATAAAAAAAAAAAAAAATCTAAACATATTAATGTTCCATGATGCATCATAATTAATTCTTAACTAAACATGTAAAGTAAATTTAAATAAAATATAATTTTGATAAAAATACATGAAATATAAATAACCTGGTGTATCCCTCATAGTCACTCATCTGAAAGGAGATCCTACATATAGTTTAAAAACAATAATAAAATATATTATATTTATTGAATGATAAACAAAACGTTACAGATTAAAACAATAAACTCGAATCTTGAAATGCAAAGCGTTAACATGTCTAGGAAAAATGAGCTTATTTTTTAAATAAAAAAAATATTTAACTTTTTATAATCATAGGGATTATATTGGTATAATTTACTTTAAAATATTAAATTATGTATAACGAAATTGAATTTAAATTGTCAAAATTACAACTTATTGTTCAATTTTATTTATTATAATAGGTGAAATATTAAACACTAAAGAAAAAACAATGTGTTTTATGAATATAACTTTTTCAAGCTATATAAATCTAAATAACCCCACTAAGATTTAAATGCAAAGTAATTGGAAAATAGTTAACCAAGAAAAAACATATTTTTATTATGAGTTGGAAAACAAATATGCATTTCAAATTTACGAACAATAAAGTATTTAACCACTCTTAAATATCGATGTATCAAAATACAAATTTCGTTTTAAATGTAAATAGATTTTAAAAACTGAATAAGATTTTTAAATCGGATATTAGAGCTGCGGCATTGGTTTGTTTGCCTGAATTTGACAACGGTCTCGAGATACTTAACGTATCTTTCATACATTTTTTTTCAGTACCGTAAAACGTCAGAAACACCCTAAGTACTTCAGTTAAGTGATTTAGTTCAACCTTACACATGTGACCTGAATAAACCTGAGCATCTGAAATTAATGGTGTTTAATTCAATTGGTGATAAAATAATAATAGGTAACAATATTTTTAAATTTATGTTTTCACACAGAAAACTCTCCACCGACTATTTTGGTTCGGGTTCCATCAGGATCAGCGGCCGTTGACCACAATGGAGGATTAGTAGTTTTTCCTGGATCCATATTGCATTTAGAATGCCTTTATTTGAGACGACATGGTGACCCAGAATGGACATGGACATCCGAGGCGGAAACGTATTTAACAGGTAATATTCAAAAGTTTTTATAAATTCAAATTCAATTTGGATACACATTAGTTTTGGTAAACCAAAATGGTATGATATACTCGTGTTGACAAAAATTTAACAGTTGTAAGCTTCTTAAAAATTAAAAATCTTAATTATGTTATAAAATGTATTAAACACTTTTAAACAAATTGCATAAAAAATTATATTCGATCGTTTCGAGAAATTTTATTTATTGGAAAATTATAATACTTTGGATGCATTTTAATAGTTATTAAAAAACTATTATTATATTTTGTTGGCATGTATTTTATTTGAAAAAAACTTGTTAAAAATATTGGAAAATGTTTGAGTCATCAAAATTGGTACTATAGATATTTGTATTAAACCAAAATTACATTAATATGTGGCAAGTATTATTTTTAATTTCACAGTATAATTTGTTTAATGTTCCATAATAGTTATTCTTAAAAATAATATATATTATTGTATTTCAATGATATTACATTAATTAAAATGCAATATATCAATTTTTCAATAATTGTGTCTGTAACTTTTTATCGTTTTCTATATATTTGTCTAAGTATTTAAAAATATAATTTCTTTTTGTGGCATTAATTTTGAAAATATCTTGTTAGAGTTTCCTTCAATACGTCAATGAATTTTCTAATTAGATAATTTATAAATGTAAATCTAGTCTTATATGTCATCCATAAACTGTAACAGGACTTGTCCCTTTGCCATTGAAATTTGATCAATGACTTTTGAGAGATTAAAGTGACTAATTGTAATTTTCTTCTATCTTAATTGATGCCACAACACTAATCTCTTCCCCAAAGCTCTATTGAATGTGTTTTGGGCTTAACTATTTTGTATCATCCATTATTCTCGTAGATAAGATTTATAGGAACAAAAATTATAAAGGATTTAAAATCTGCTAAGGATTTTCAAATTCAAAAGTTTCCGAAGGCAGGATTACACGAAACCCCCTAAGACATTTCGTAGAACCACATGTTCATTTTCAGTTCAGTGATAAATCTTATAGATATAAATTAAATTATGTATATATAAATACTGTTTATCAAGGTTTATAAATCAATTTTAGGAGCTGAGATATTTTTCGCGATATTATTTGAAACATAATGGTACATGATTTTTTGAGTTTTTCATTATTTGGTATTTAAATTCATAGTTTATATGTTCATTAAAAAACAAATAATATACATATTTGTATATATTAAAATATATTTTATATAAATATATGTACAATATTTTAAAAATAATATTCAAATTCAAAGTAGAATAGATTAAAAATAAATATTTAAAATTATTAGTAGACCGTTAGTGTAATTTTTTTTAAACTAGTTTCTTAATAAGTTACCAAAAATTAATAATATTGAAAAAATAAATTTTCTGATAATTTAATGTTACATCAATAGCCTAATATGGGAAAAATCAATTAAATTTCTTGAATTAAAATTATATAAATCTGAAATTTTATATAAATATATATAATTATATTAATAATATTATATTAAATAATATGTGATTTTCGTAACATAATATTTGTAACTATTGGAATTAAAAAAAATTTAGTTCAAATTTGAGGTCTTGACATTTTTTTGCACTTTTTATGACGATTGTGGCTTGGATTACTACGTATATATATTCAATGAAAAAATGAACATGTTCATTTAAATTTTTTTATTATATATTTATGAATCGCCAACTGGCATTCTTTATGAATGAGACCTTTACAAACTATATTAGGTATATTTTACTTTATGTTTAAAACCTATGCATAAACATATTGTACTTACTATTTATTATTTATAAATATGTATTTAAACCGGTAAGTACATTTTAACAACTCAAAAATCATTCAAGTTCATTAAAAATATAAATGTCGTTCACGTCTATATTTTATTTAAAAAAAGGTATTGACGTTTGTGTGTTTTTCATAAAATATGAACGTGCGTTCACAACGTTCTTCTAAACACTGTATATATATATATATATATACACAAATTAATTATTATTGTTTATACACATACTCGTATTAATGATAATATAACGTTATTAGTTTATTGTGCAAAATAGCTTTGTTTATCATAATTTTGTATATTGAAAGAAAATTAATGGTATATTATAAATGGTTTTAAAATTAGGTGTGAAAAAAAAACAAATTACTCCTTAAGAGAGAAAGATTTAAACAGGTGAATTATTTCAAACATTAACCTCGGAGATGTAAAATAAAACTTTATTATATTAAAAATAAAAAAAAATTAAATGTATTGATAATAATATTTATAGTAGAATTAATATTTATTTATTCTCTCAACAAACTACAACTTTTTCATGCTTAGGGGTTTTATATAATTTGAGATTCTCATATTTTATGTAAAAATGATACAATAGTTATTATTTACAAACTCAATAAATCATGTTTAAAATATTTCTATGATATTATCCATTAAATTATGCTATCAAAAACTATCAGACTTGATTTCGAAATGTATAGAATATTATATTTAAAATAAATATATAGTATAATGTATGCAATTAGTTCAAAGAAATGGGAAAACGGTATGTTCGAAATTCAATTAGGTAATACTCTTATAATCGAACTACATTTTAACTACATTTTTAAATGGCACGTCATGCTTATATGTCAACGATGATGGCTTTTATAATTGAACGGCTATTTTCAGTCTCCTTTCCTGTTCATGGTACGTGGGCGCCAAACTTGCGCGTCCACATTCGAATGCGTGCTATATAAATAATGAGCGTATGCGGGATATCAGATGACTGTACTAAATGAAAACTCATAAAACCTCCTCCGGGCATAACGTTTCGAGTAGTGTTCGAATAGCTCAAAGCTATAGAAAAACGATAGGGTTGTAGTAAAACTTGTTTTAAGAGGTCCCGCTATATATATTTCAGTCCACTGAAGAGGTTACAGTGCAATGGTCGTTGTCTATATAGAACGGGAGGCTATACGTGTAATTTTGAATATCGCATGGAATTCGAATAGAATGCAATGCAACGAGAAACAAGACAGTAATGATATTATTGTATAATGACGTATAACATTATAATGATGCACTTATTTTTAAATGTTGTGTGTCGATCATTTTCGGCAAGTAACATTTGAAGTTCGAGAAAAACCGAACACAATTTATTTTTTATTTATTTATATTAAATTTATTTTTACGTATAAATCATTTTTTTTTCCTTGCAATTTTTGAAAAATAATAAAATGCTAGAACCGCCATCGTGCATGCACATTGATTTTTTATTATTATCGTATAGTTGCAGTATCGTTAAGCTTGATTAATTACTATTGGATATTAATATATAATGTTTATATATGGAAAAATATATGCTTGAATTGATCGCGAAAATTCATATCACAACATCGTAATAAAGGTCATTGTTTATTTTTTTATTTTTATTTATTTTAATGGAGAAAATACATCAAAAACAACAAGTAAACATTAAAGAAGTCTGAATATCACTTAGTCGTGTATTTCACGATACCTGCACGAAAAAATCGAGTCTTTTTGAGTACTCGAGTGAAAATTACAACACTTGATGTTGTAATTATTTTTACATAATATTCATTCAATCGAAGAAAGTACTTAAAAAATAAATAAATAAAATAAATTATAAGTTTTGTGTTTAATCGGATATTAAATAACCGCCTTATAAAATAAGTATTGTTTTCAAAAATATTTAGCAACTAAGGCTTATTTTGTTAGAAAAATTTATTATAATCTTATTGTACCAATGATTGTTATAGCAGTGGTACAAGTTCTATACATAATAACACATCATATTGAAGTGAAATTATATTATTTATATTTTAATGTTTATTTGTTTGAAAAAATAATCGATTTAAAATGTACCAGTTAAATTTTAAAAAATTACATTTGTTCGAGTTTTGTCTAGAATAAGTAAGCATGGGATACATTATTTAACAGTATAACCTGTCAAATACGTCATGTCACACAACAAGTAAAATAAAAAAAATAAAAAAAAAAATTAAAGTGAACATCACGTAGTACGATTTAAAAAAAAAATCGTGTAAACTAACGCAGAAACATAATGTATGTTTATTGACTTAAGTGGATAAAGGTAGTACTGAGAGTTTGAATGATGAAGGTTTCTCTTGGGATTAAATACAATGTTTTACTAGATTGTGGTTAGACCGTTATAATGTACGTGTTAAAATGTTAAACAGTGAACAAAAGAAACATTTGTTAATAATCGAAGTAATATCGCAGTGATGAATGTAATATAAGTGTTGTAACACTATGAACGTTTGGCCGATAATCTATTTCCAACTTTAGAGTTCGTACAACTACCATCATAAGTTTAACGAATTGTTGTGCTGCAAAACACGTTTAAGGGTGTAAAATAAAGAACAATATTAACCCTACATCAGTCGCGCATTTTACTATTGTATAGTGTACACTGATGATCAATTTAATTTTAAATAATTTTGAAAGTATATGTTCACAATGATACCTTTAAATGACATAATATTGGTAACTCTTTTGATTTTGGAGTTTATCTTTCAGTGTGGTTCTGTATACCAAGCGATTAAGTTTTGTTACGCAATCACTCAGGTACGTAATTTTTATACTAAATTCCATATTTTGAATTGGTGTAATTTTTATTAATTTAATTGTTTTAAATTTATTTGGACGTTATACATTATATTATATACTTCATAATATATAATATGTTTATGATTTATAAATAATTATTATATTTTTAGGTAAATATATACGTACATATTTAGTATTCGTTATGATACTTTTTGTATATCCATGCGTATAGTCCCTTGACATGCATTTAATTACTTAATATTGTACAATTTGATAAAAATATACATTTAATAAAAGAATTCAATGATTTGAGAAAATAATTAATTTATGTTTTAATCATACATTTTAATTGACAAAAATTGTGATTGTTCTACCTATGTAGATACGTGACTATTCAGGTGTGATTAA